TAGCAGTTGAAGTAGTAGTTGTTGTAGTAGTAGTAGTAGTAGTAGTAGAAGTGGTAGTAGTAGTAATAGTTGTGGTAGTAGTAGTAGTAGAAGTGGTAGTAGCAGTTTTAGTAGTAGTAGCAGTTTTAGTAGTAGTAGTAGTAGTAGCAGTTGTAGTAGTAGTAGAAGTGGTAGTAGTAGTAATAGCAGTTATAGTTGTGGTAGCAGATGTAGTATTGGCAGTAGAAGTAGTAAACACTTTGGTAATTAGTTTTAAATGTGCTCTATAAATACATTTGACTTGACTAGTAGCTGTAGTAGTAGTAGTTGTGGTATTAGTTGTATTAGTGGTATTAGTGGTGGTGGTAGTAGTAGTAGTAGCTTTAAGTTAGTTATTTCTACAAACTTCTTACCTCTTAGGTGTGTGTGTGTGTGTTGGGGGGGGGGGGGGACTCCTACATGATTGTTCTGGGAAAATATTTTTGCAGTTACAAACTACCTACAACTATTTGCTACAGGCAAAGCAGAAAAGTTTTATTAGTAACATTGCAGATCTCTTTAGATAATTAAACTCAGTCATGGCTTCTTGAGGGTAAACGAACACTAACCACAGAGGAGTGGACCCACAATGACTCTCCGGCTTTATGGAGCCAAAATGTGATGAAGAAATGATGACAAGAGTGTGAATGTTGTGCTAATACATTAGCAGCGTTCTCAGTTAATACAGCAGTAAAATGTATCAGCCATTTACCCTGAGGCTAGTGATACGTGTTAACATCATTAGACAATTCTTAAAGGTGCCATGTAGAGTTTCATTGTCAATGTTTCTAGTCACATACTCATCAAACTCATTATATATTTACGCTTCAGGCTAGGTAAGCACATGTAGCACTTTTCTTTATGCAGCATTTGCAAAATACTGGCTTGCTGCTTTTCTTGATGCTGTTGTTGCTGGCACGCTACTACGTTACTGTGAAACCATTAACAAGAGTATGAGCTCGAACATTAGTATGACTCCTAAAATGTTTCATTAATGCTAGTAATGTTGAAATAAGCCATCCAGGATGTCATTCTTGCATTCAACTGTTGATTTATTAATTAAGTCACATGGGTTTTAAACGAGCTATCTATTTCAAACTAGGCCTGTCGCGATAAACAATAAATCAATTAATTGCATGATAAATGAAAATTATCAATCGCATTTTCTTTTATCGGCTTTATCGTTTCTTTATGTCTCTCTTTCTACTGAACACAACGGATGACAAAAGGCTCAAATCCGGCACGCTTCATTGACCCCTCCCTTTCTCTTTTCTATTTAAAATCCATTTTAACCGTCCAAAATCGCGTTTTTTGGATCTTTAAAAGCAGCTAAGCTGAGAAGCTATGCTACGAGCTAAGCTAACAGGCCGACCTCAGGAAAAAACCTCAGTCTTGTCTAAGCTTCAGAATTCACGGTTGAAACTCGTGCCTTCGTGTAAATTTTTTTTTTCCAGCAAAAAGAAGCTGAGAACTTGTTTACTGATTTTTTTTATTTTATTTTTCTTAATTAAAAGCTTTGTGAAAAATGTTATGCTAAAGAGCTCAAACCACACCGAGCGTCCGCCATTTTGAGAACCGAAGAGAGACAGCCCGTGTCACGTCAAGGGGCATCCCTCCCATTTTTCTTAAAGAGACACGCTGTTCGCTCCCTCACTATCCATCCTGCAGTTTAAATAGTTTTATACTGCCATCTGGTGGTCGTAAAATGGTACTACATTCAAAACAAAGTAAACATTTCTTCTTAAATTTGACAATAAATTACTAATTATTGTCAAATTTCAAACAATATTATCGTTTATCGCAATAATGTCTGAGACGATTAATCGCCCAGCAAAATTTGTTATTGTGGCAGTAAAGGGTGAGTGCAGTCAGTTCTAAGGAATTCAATTGCAATTCATTGTAGTGCAGAAGTCATGGAGTTTTACAACAGGGCCATGATGGAAATGTCTGGTAATAAGCCCAGGTCTGGTGTAGAGACCAGTGGGGGTAAGAAACAGTGGAGTAAACAAGATGAGGTGCAAGAAAGGTGAGAGCTGGAGAAGCAGAAGAGATGAGCGATGTAAGTGGGGAAGTTGGAAATAATAAAGTGGGGGGAAGTGATGAGCACACCAAGGAGGACTGATGCTTAAAAAAGTAGTGAGAAGATGGGAAGGCTGGGTGGTTAACTTTTAAGATGAACTGGGGGAAAATCAAAGAGCTGTTTGCAACAACTCCCAAGGTTGGAGGTAGCAATTTGTGAATAAGATGTGCCTATTTGCATGTTTTTGTCAAGAGGAAAGTAGTAATGTGTGTTTGTCGATGTCTCCGCAGGATGTGGATGCCTCAGAGATCAAAGTCCAAGTGTGTGTGTACGCCTTTGACCTCCTCTATCTCAACGGAGAGGTAAGACTTGAGATAAAAATATTACCCGGAGATCCTGCAAAACGTGTTTATTGTTTGTGAGCACACGTGCGCGCTCAAGATGCAGACGTTGTCCTCGAATGCCAATGATGGCGCTGCTGTGGTGCTGCAACTAGATAATGATTGTAACACTCATTGTCATTCCAGCAGAGTGTGGTTTGATTGTGTGTCTGTCTGAGGGGCGCTCCGTCACAGAGTCAGTCTGTGCCTTTTTGAGACCCTGTGTGTGTGTTCTGGCTGTTTGCGTGGCCGAGTGTGTGTGTATGTGTGACTATTTCCTAATGATGCAAAATTTCAAGTAAATTTCTTAAGCCTGCTAAAGACAATGCTAATTAGCGAGTGCTTCCATCAGACAGTGTAATGGGAGATCTCCCAAATGGATGGAAGCCAAATTACATCATTAAAGGAGCCCCGATGACTCTTAAATTCTGCCATTTCACAGTTCCTTCCCACTTAATTTGGGATTTATGTAAACAGTATTTATTATTATTTTACAGTGAGCCTTATGGTGTATCTGTTGCTTTTATTTTATTGATTTACAGTTGACCTATACGCAATGAAAGGCAGACCTACAGTAGTTCTGACCAGTCTGGTTTTTATGCTTTTTTACTTCAGTATTTTTATATTTTTGATATGTTTTAGAATTATAAACAATTGTGAAATGTTTTGTTAGAGAAAAAAAAAAACTACTTTAAGATCCTCTTCCTGTCATTCATTCAACCTTTATTTATGCAGGTTAGTCTCATTGAGCCTTGAGGACTCATTTACAAGAGAGACCTGATTTTAACAAAGAGTGATGACGGCAGCAGACGATCTTAAAAGAAAGCATGTACATCTAGAAATCAAAAGAAAGAAAATGATTGCCTGTGTTTTAATTATGCAACAAGGTTTGCATTATCTAAATACAAGCTTCCATAAGCAACTGAAAACAAAGGCGAAGTCAAACATTATAACTTTACTTTTATCTGCTTAGAACTGTAGTGTGCATACTAAGGGTATGTCACTGGGCTGCAACTGTTGGGGACTCAAAATGCAGAGAAAAAACTGTTGCAAACTCTGAATTCTGAGTGTTGGTCACACAGCTCGCTGATTGCAGTGTTTTATTAATAATGATATTAATAATAATGTGTTATGTGTTGTCATCGTTGAATGTTCCCATGCAATGGCGAAATTAGCTCTGCATTTAACCCATCCACCACCAGGTGGTGCAGTCGGCAGCTATTGAACGCCCGGGGTTCATTTAGGGATAGGGTGTGCTGCTCAGAGACACCACGAGATGTGCAGTGACTGGGGATCGAACCTGGGACTTTTGGGTCCCGAGTCGGCTGCCCTGCCTCTACACCATCTCGGCCCCCAGACCAATACTAGAAAATCGCAGCCAGTTTTCGTGCGCTCTGCTTGAAAACTATTCTAGGTTGTGCACGTTATTTTGTACCCACCTTTGCAGCTGCCCCCAGATTGATGTGCACGTACGCTTTTGAAATAATTAAACAGATTTAGAGAATTACTTTTAAAATAAATGATATGTACTATCACCGTGATTTTAAGACCTGAACATACTGAGCTGTAGACTCGGATGCTCTTTGTTATAAGGAGAGCTCCGGTACAGCTATACCACTCTAAAGTTTATGAAAACTTAATTTAAGAAAAGTTCGAGAAGTTCAAAATGCTCTCAACAGCTTTGCTGACGCCATTCATCACCTTAACGGTTGCAGCCCAGTGAAACGATCTTAAAATTACCATGTGGTTTCAGCAGGTATATACAGTACTAGTGTGCCTTTCCTATTTTACATGTTTTTTTGTAACGATTAAACAATTTAGTAACTCAAAGGAGGCTGTCGTGTACACACGTCAGCTAGAAATGAGCAGAATTTGAACCTTAATCCTGCAACAATTACGGGAATTTTAAAGTGCACTGCTACCAAAGATGGAGGGGAAAAATAAAAACGCATAAACGCCCCACAATCCACCAGGAGCTGCCAGTTGATGGCACACACTTGTCGTTCTTAGAGCTACTTTACAAATGTAAATTCTTGTATGAGAAACGTAAATTGCACAGACCGTTTGATTCTGGTTGACGTTTTTGACTAAATATCTATTACATAACGGGTTTTATAGCAAACTGCAAGGAGCACAAACAGGCTTCTATTGTTGCACGGAGGAGGTTTTAAACCCGCGTGATCACTGAGGGCATTTCATCTGCATGATCCACGTATTCAGTTCACTTTATTCAAAGCTGCATGTCGGCGCTGCTTTGATGCATGTAAGCATGGCAGAACATGACACGGTCTCATTTTCCAGCATAAATTCTACAAAAACCTGCACATACTAACGAGGGCTTTAACCTGACTGGATTCACGCACGTGAGCACGGTTGGTTGTGTTTGTCACATGCACTTTTTTGGCTCTCTGTTAGCTCACAAACTTTAGTATTTCTTAATAACCTGCATGGCATGAAGATGGTTATCTATGTAGTTGGTTAAAATCTGCATCACTTTACTTTTAATATTACGAGCTCTTGTCTGCTTTGTTTGTTTGAGTTTGTCTAGACAAATTTATGCTACTTTAGATGAGTGGTTCCCAACACTGGTCCTTGAGGAACACCATCATGCATGTTTGTTGTTTCCCTGCTTTGGCACATTTGGTTTGAATGAATGGCTGCTCAACAGGCTTTAGCAGAACTTTTAAAATCACTGAATCAGGTGTGTTGGGAAACAACTAAAACATGCATGATGGCGTTCCTCAAGGATCTTGGTTGGGAACCATTGCTTTAGATAATGTGTTACATTATTTTTTTTCAACATGGAAGTCTAAAATGCCTCGAAATGCACAATAGATGCCATTTAAAAATGATCTGTGACCAGAAGTCTGTGCATGTGTGTTCTGGAGGTTTATGTGTGATCATGCATGTGTGGGTGTTTGTACGTGCGCCCAAAGCTGCCGAATTTGTGCAGTATTTTCTGAGACTGCTTGTTTGTGTGTGGGTAGATCTTTGAGATGGTATTTCATCCTTGTCATTGGAAGCCTTCAAGCTATCAAGAGGAAATGGCTTTAATGATGCAGTTTTTGCTGTTTGTAATGATGTTTGTGTTTCTTTGTGTGTGTGTGTGTGTGTTCAGTCTCTGGTGCGACAGCCGCTGTGTCGGCGTCGGGAGCTGCTGAGAGAGAGCTTCACCGAGGTGGAGGGCGAGTTTCAGTTTGCCCGTTCCATCGACTCCAACAACACTGATGCCATCGCAGAGTTTCTGGAGCAGTCTGTCCGAGGTGTGTGTGTGTGTGTGTGTGTGTGCAAGACGAAGACAGACCTTTCCTCCTTGTTTTGCCTCCACCTGTCTCTTTGTGTCCCCTACCTTTGTGTGTGTGCTGCAGACTTGTTTACTTGTCTGCTGTCCCTCAGTGTCTGGAGTCTTTTGTTGTGTGTGAGAGTTTCATCTCATTTGTGTTGGCTTCCGCTGCCGTAATGTGTAAAGTGTGTGTGTAGTGTTGTGTTTGGTCCGTGTTGTGTGTGCAACACTTGTGAGTTGTATAATAGAATTTTTTTGCTTCGTCTCTCCGAGTCTGTTTAGGATGAAGAGGACGCATTTCCTTTGGGTGCATGAGTCATATGGCCGTCCTTGTCCACTTTGTCTTTGTTTCCTGAATTTGTTTGTTTCCTATAGAGACTCTCAAACATAACAACATTTCATGTATCTCATAGATAATCTCTTAATTTCCTTTCTGCACATCCAGAATCGTGTTTTGGTGTATAATGTGTTTGTGTGTGTGCAGACTCCTGTGAAGGCCTGATGGTGAAGACTCTGGAGAAAGATGCTACCTACGAGATTGCCAAGCGCTCTCATAATTGGCTCAAGGTGTGTGCATGTGTGTTGAAGAGTGTTGGCATTAGATCCCAGTCAGATGTAATATACACCAATGAGCCAAAACATTATGATGGGTTAAGTGAATAACACAGCTAATCTCGTTATAAAGCAACGCTTTCCTCGGAAAAGCTTACCTCGCTGGACGTTTCTGCAAAATAAATGCGTATATAATTAGGTAACAGCATTCCCTTAAGATTGGGTACTAAAAATAATAAAGAAAACACTAAGAATGACAATAAAAGTATTGTTAACTAGGAAAAAAAGTATTTCTGGAAACTAAGGTGTGAATGCTGAATGGCTCTGCTGAAATTTGTTGAAGAAGCCAAAACAAAGTTGTTAAAGTTAAAACAGGTTGTACAAATGGAAAAAAAATTGCTAAACAATGAAAAATTAGAACAACAAGAATGGTAATTAAAAGCTAAAACGAGCAGAAATGTAGCTAAAAGCTAAACTTAGCTAAAAAAAATTGCTAAAAGATTAAATTAGCTAAACTTTTTCATTATTATTGTAAGGCCAAAGCAGTTGCATGTTGTTAAAAAGTCAAACTTTTTTTTTTACCGATGCTCTTCATTAATGCAGAATGAATGGTTTTGCTTTAAAAAAATTTAATTCAGGTTGTTTTGATTTTAAAACAGCTGTTTTATTATATTTCTGTTTCATAAGATTCATTTGGTAAGCACTCAGTTCAGTCATGGCTCGTAATTAATGGCGATTTTATTTTATTTTTTTATTTTTAGTATATATCAGCAAGATTTTTCAGACGCTCAAATAAACAAAGATGGCTTTATTTTATTAATAATTACAATATTGTTTGACAAGTTCTTTCATGAAAGCATTGATTGTTTTATTGTAACTCAACTAAATATTCCATCAATATTTATTTATTTAGCTCATTCTAAAACAGTATTTTCTTTGTCCTCCCCCCAGCTGAAGAAGGATTACCTTGAAGGAGTGGGGGACACCATGGATCTTTGTGTGATCGGCGCCTATCTGGGAAAAGGCAAAAGGACGGGCACGTACGGTGGCTTCCTGCTGGCCTGCTACGATGAAGAAAACGAGGAGTTTCAGTCCGTCTGCAAGGTAACGGTGCTCCGTGCACGTCGTTGAGAGTGTTATTGGGGTCTGCCTGAAGGCAGCCACCTGTTATTATCCACCTGAAAAGGGTTTTGCTCTTCCATCAACTTTAATGTGGCCCGAACCGCAATGTGTACCCCCACAAATGTTACATCAAAACAACTGGCTCGGCACAGTGATGTGTGCTTTTACTTTTATTGGCATTTCGAGTTACCACGGTAACGTAATTTGCAAACAAATACACCATTTTTCTCATTGAAAGCACCTGATGGAGCTCAGCAGCTTCTAATAGTGACGCACGACCTCGAGCGACGAGGTCTCTGAGCTAAAGTGAGGATGTCGTCGAACAAACTAATTGTCTTGTCCTTTTTTTGTTTTGTTACATGTTCATTATAAATGTTAATAAAATGGCATTAGTGGTTATGACATTTTCTTTAGATCAGAGATCAGAACTAAACTATTTGTCCAACCTGAGGCCATTCAAATAGCTAATATAACAATGCAGAACTATTACCTTTTATTTACATTATATTACAGTGTTTCCCCTACCATTATACAATCGGGGCGCCCCACCCCATCAACTGAACAGAGCGCCCCGCCTACCGAACCCCCCACACACATACACACCTGTCGGCACTGAAGTAACGCTAAACTAGCGGCTCGCAATACAGGTGCGCTAGCTAAAAAGCTAAAGACTGCCTCTTCCCTCACGCTGTAAACTCCACACATTTGAAAATTGTTGGTGCAGACAGTGCGCAGCTTTGTCTCTGTCCCCCCCCCCCCCCCCCCCCCCCCAAAAAAAAAAAAACTTTCTGTATAAACAGCACACTGCGCAGCTCAGGACGTGTCTTCGTCCGTCCCCACCACCACCCCCCAACAAAAATCATGGACCCCGCCATGGCAAGTTATCTGTGGGAAACACTGTATTATCTAAATAGGAGCTTGTTGGCAGTTGATTTTCATTTTTCAGTGTCCACACCTGGACCTCCTGAGAGGAGTGTTGACTGCAGTTTGGTCGCAGGCCACAATTACTGTAATTGTTTGAATAAAATAAGAGACTATTGACGGCATGTGCTCTAAATATCTCATGTAAACAATGGAACGGGTTGAGATCAATGCTGTTGTGCTCCATACGTCGCATGAGCCGGACGACAGAAACCCGCAGCTGAAAGTGAACAAACACATTTATCTTTTCGCTGTTGCTCCGTGGCAGCTCAGGAATTAAGGGTTTATGCCATGCGAGTGCAGCATCCTGCGCGCCGGTGTGCTGCTGCTCTTCATCATCCTTTTACTCCCTCTGTGCTGGGCGGAAAAACAAAGGCAGAGAAAAGAAATCAAAGAGCGGTGGCAGAGTTTGACCCACTTTTCCCTCTAATGATCAGACCTCTACGTATCCTGGACTGGTGCAAAGGCCTTTAGTCACATCGTCACCTGCAGACCGAGGGGCTTTGTTTAACTTTTATCAACTCCTAAAAGGCATTAAAGTCATGGCAACTGGTAGTTATTTGCACCAGAACTGGTTCATTAGTTACGTTGCTGCTTTTGGCCTAAAAACACTTTTTTAATACACTTGTCGAAAGGCAGACGTATTTTCTTTTAGTTGACGTTCGTACGTGTGCAGCCTTTTTCATCTTCAGTCCATAACTTCTGATCCCCTCAAGATAGTTTAACAAAACTCCATACACATATGCATCATCACTAGACTTGTGTTGTTTTTACTTTTCATCACCCCAGCGATAGGTCAAGGTCACAAGTCAAGGTCAAATGTTATACAAGGTCTGTGTCTGTCCGGACTGTTGCTATAGATTGTTGTATTTCTGTATAATAATTTGTTGGCAGGTGTGAAACGTGCTGTATGGGGTACTCTAAATAGTTTTAAGTGTTATTGTTCAAACCAAGTAAACACGTATTACAGCTGGCCGTCTTGCTACTTGTTTGTTTTAACAGGCTGGAATGGCTCAGAGCAACAGACTTGTATTTAATATTTTTTTCTAGTATTTTGTGTCAAAAAATACAAAAAATCAAGGAGCCCTTTTAGGAAAACAAGTCGAAGTGAATGTTGTCAAAGAGAACTTGAGCTGCGCATTTTTCCCAGCATGAAATGGAACGAGGGTACACTTCACAAAAAAAATCCAGTAATGCTTTTCACACATTTAGAAAAGAGGCAAAGAACAGGCGGAAGGAAACATTATAAAAGTTTGGACAACTGTCAAGCTAGCATTAAATGTGACTTTTGTATTTGTCGGTGCAGAGTTCCTGTTTGTGCTTTTTTTAAAAAAAGACTAAACTGCAGAGACGTTAAAAATATGTAGTAGTGCTGGACAGATGCATTTTAAATACATTACTATTGGACAAAACAAAAGGTGAACAGTTAAAATACTTGTTTTGTACAGCAGTCCCTCGTTTATCACGGGGGTTACATTCCGCCCCGCAAAAAGTGAAAAGCTGCCAAGTAGAAATGACGTGGATGAGTTGAAACAACAAACCAAAACAGTTCAGTCAACTAATAAATTTAAATCAACTAAACTAAAGCAAAACTTTATTCAACAAGAGTTTATAATCAAGACAACGATGATGTTTATAGTGAGCAGTAATGCCTTTTTACTCACCAGCTCTGCAGAACACACAGCTCTGTTCTGGTCCGGCTCTGTTCCGGTTCTGTTCCGGTTCGGCAGACCTACCTAGCCTTGGTGCGGTTCTGGTCCAGTTCTGATCCGTTTGCTGCATCCACTGAGCGCCAAAGTCACAATGAGTACTGTAAGGACCAAACTTTTTTGGATCACATCAAAACTTTTCCTCCAGCAGAAAGCAACTTTGCCTTCTGGGTAATGTAGTCCTCTAAACTGGCAATACAGTGTATACTACAAAATGGCAACACTTTTTTTTGTGTATGTGTACAATCTTACAGTACTGTACTTTGAAAAAAACGCTTGTGTTTCCTTTTCGAATTTGCTATATTTTTTTGTCACCAAGGTAAACACACTTCACGACAGTTCGGCCTGTCGCGATAAGCAATAAATCAATTAATCGCATGATAATTGAAAATTATCTACCTCATTTTAATTTATCGTCTGTATCGTTTCTTCGTGTCTCTCTTTCTACTGAAGACACTGGATGACAAAAGGCTCAACTCCGGTGCTCTTCACTGAACCCTCCCTTTCTCTTTTCTCTTCAAAATCCATTTTAACGATCCAAAATCGCGTTTTTGGATCGTTAAAAGCAGCTAAGCTGAGAAGCTAAGCTAACAGGCCGACCTCTGGAAAAAAACCTCCGTCTTGTCGAAACTCCAAAATTCACAGTTGAAACATGTGCCTTCGTGTAAAAAGTTGTTTTTCTCTGCAAAAAGGAGCTGAGAACTTGTTTACTGTTTTTTTTAATTAAAAGCTTTGTGTGAAAAATGCTATGCTAAAGAGCTCAAACCACACCGAGCGTCCGCCATTTTGGCAGCCGAAGAGAGACAGCCCATGTCACGTCAAGGGGCCTCCCTCACATTTTTCTTAAAGAGACACGCTGCTCACTCCCTCACTGTCCAGCCTTCGGTTCAAACAGTCTTATACTGCCATATAATGGTCGAAAAAAGGTACCACATGCAAAACAAATTAAACATTTTTTCTTAAATTTGATCATAATTACTAATTATTGTCAAATTTCAAACAATATTATCGTTTATCGCAATAACGTCTGAGACGATTAATCGCCCAGCAAAATTTGTTATCGCGACAGGCCTAATTTGAACGAAGCACTCTTTTACTTAAATAAATAAAGAAAATCATTGTTAAAAACTTAAATTGAAGCTCTTGGAAAAGCTATCCATCTTCCGTATTGAGCCTAGTTTCTTGTACTAAAGCAAACTTTTTGGGACAAAGCCTACGATGTGGGAGCATCTGTCGTGTTTTGGTAACGTCGTCTCACCTTCTGACACCGGCATTGATTGGTTTAGGCTGCCGGTGGGATTTGATTATCAGTCCTCAAAGCAAGCAAGTCAGTGTAATTGGCTGAGTGTAAGAAGTGTTGGCTTCTCTCTCCTAACAAACCGTAGCACCGTACTTGGCTCGGCAGACAACAGATAAATAATGCATAAAGGTCTCGCAGTTGATTTAAGCTCCTCTAAACTCCGAATGCTGCTACAGACTCGTACAGTAAAACTCACGGTCACTTGATTCTGTCTGTGGGCGACAAAATGCTTTATTTCCATAACACACCCCTTCATCCTTTCCCTCTTCAGCGAGTGTGTCATCCTGTTAGGTGTTTCTGGTGTCTCGGCGAGTTCAAGTCCTTCGAGAGGCGACACGACACTTTAGGCGAATCAGGCAGACAAGATGTTCGTGTTGTGGGGGGGTTTGCTTTCTGTTCTGTTCTGCTGCTCGCTGCCAAATGTCTGCTGTCTCCCCACGAGGGAATCTGTGTATGTCTGAGCGTCTCTTTCTTATCTCCTCTCATCTCTTGCAGATCGGGACGGGCTTTAAGGATGAAGATCTGGAGCAGCATTACAAGTTTTTAAAGGTGAAGTAGGGCTGCCTGACTGTTGCACTGAATTGCCTGGTTAAAAACGAAATATCAGCACCCCCTCCTCCTCCTCTCCTTACTGATGCACCATCTTTTAAAATCATGACACAGTCTTTTAATGCTGCTGCACATAGAACTGTTTTTACTGGTGATAGGAGTCTGCTGGTGCATGGTTGATGTCTTTGGAGGCATTTCCTCATAAAACTAAGATTTATTCAATTTATTAAACATTTCATTAACGATTAAAGGCCTGGCATTCCTTGAAAGAATGCATATTGCTTTTCATGCCAGCGTTTTAAACTCGTTGCAACCCAAAGCCTATTATTTTATTTTTTGCTCCTAAGCTCAGAGAACGTGCTATGGATGATGCTCAACTACCACTAAATTAACTTGATATCTTTGCAGGCGATTTTCTGTTGACTGATTAGCTTTATGATGACCTCAAACATTAATGAGTCGTTTCTAATTAAGACAGTTTTTAACTGTCAATGCCAACAAATGGGATGGCTAGCATCTACTACCACACCACGCTCATTATTTGGAAATTAAACAAAGTTGGAGCCATTTTTGTTGACTAGATGCAACAATTACGTAACATTAAATAAGTTACAGAAACATGATAATTTGACTTTAAAATCTGTACAATTGGTTTGTAAATGTTCACGAATCTAGAAAATACGAGTCAGAAGCCTAATGCTACTTCAGGTTCACCCATTTGAAAACGCCTGCGTCGAGAGGAGCTGTGCGGGCGTGCTCTGGCGCCGGATAATGAATTGCTTTTTCAATTTCCATATGAAGAGGCTCGTTCCAGAGCAGCAGCATTTTGAAGCAATTGACAACTGCTCTCTGAAAATGATATCTGTCGACTTCATCAGCTAAATTTAGACTCGGCGCTGCAGGAATGAGGCCTGAGAAGGTTCAACAAATAAAACTAAAGACATTACATTTCCTGCAGAAATGCAGTGTGAATACTTATTGCAGAAGAACTTGCTGAAAATCAGCTGAAATTAGCTAAAAACATGCTGAAATGTAGCTGAAAGGAAAGAACAAGCCTAAGTTAGCAGAAGAAAGCAGAACGAACACAATTTTGCTGAATTGGGTTTAAATAAGCGGAAATGAGCACAACAATTAGGAAATCAGCTAAAATTTGCAAAATAATTTTAACAGCTAAAAAGTAGCTGGAAAGACAGAAAGAAGCTTAACCTACGAGAAGGAAGTAGAAAGAGCTGAAATGAGCTAAACATGTGGAATTAGCTGAAAAAGCTAAAATTTGCATAAAATTATCTAAATAGTAGCTGAAATAGCAGAAAAAGCTGAGACTAGCAGAAAAAATCTGAAAGGAGCAAAATAAGCTAAAATTAGCAGAAAGAAGTTAATTAGGCTGAAAGTAGCAGAAATTACCACATAAAACTAGAATTTATCTGAAAACAACTGAAATTGGCTAAAAAGGCAGCTGAAAAGAAAAGGTAGAACAAGCTTAAAGTAGCAGAAAAAAAAAAGAAAGAACACACATTTGCCTAATTTGGCTGAAAAGAGCAGAAATTAGCACAAAAAAAAAGTGAAAATTATCTTTAATAAAAGGTGAAATTAGCAACAACAAAAATAAACTGCTGAAAAGCAGCTAAAAAGGCAGCAAGAAGCTTAAATTTCCTGCGGGATCAATTTAATCTTATCTTAAATTATCAGAAGGAAGTGGAGAGAGCATATTTTTCTGAATTAGGTAGAAACAAGGTCTAAAGAGTGCCAAAAATGTAGAATTAGCTGAAAAGGCTAAACTTATGGTAGCATTGAAATGGCTAAATAGTAGCTGAAATAGCAGAAAAAGCTGACACTTGCAGAAATAAACTGAAAGAAGCATAACAAGCTAAAATTAGCAGAAGTAAGTTAGAAGAAGCACAAAAATGTTGTAGTTGTAGTAAATCAGGTCTCTCTTGTAAATGAGTCCTTGAGGCTCAATGGGATTAACCTGAATGAAAAAGTTAGAAAGAATCTGAAAGGAGCACAGAAAAGCTGAAAAAAAAACCAGCTGAAATTAACTGAAAGTAGCTGAAAAAAGTTTAAACTTGCAGAAGGAAGCTGAAGCAGAACAAAATGTGAAAGGAGCAGTAAAAGGTTGTGAACAGATCTAAAGATGTGAAGGATGTAAAATGAGATCAATTCATTTTCTATGAGGAAAAAAAATGGCAGAAACCGCTGAATATGTCAAAAAGCTAAAGTTGCACCAATATCAAAAGTCATATAGCAGGATTGTCCTGAAAGAGCTGAACATTTTGATTCATGATTTGTTGAAATAGCACAAAAATTGTGTAATGAGAATGATACTGAAAAACAAACGGCAGAAAAATGGATCACAATAGAGTGAATGCTTCATAAACATTCACAATAATGTTTTCAAAATAATTCTCACAGTAAAACCTTTAGTTTTTCTTGCATGTGTTGCACCTTGTATCAGTTGCAGAAACTGCTGCAGAGTGCAGAATCACTCCAGCGAGGTGGAGAATGAGAAGGTTCTGTAACTTTTCCTCTCCCCACACCAGTAAAGCCTTACTGTAGTGTTTGTAATGAAAGTGATGGATGGTGAATTAAGCCGGTGGTGCGGCCGTGCTGCTCTTGTTGCAGCGCTGCTGCAGGCCAATCGGACTCTCGACAGGGAGACAATTGGCTTGTTTACACTCCTCTGAGCAGCGAGGTGCTGTGTTACAATGAGGACCGCACTGATTCCTTGTTCCGCCGCTCGGATCTCGATTTTGATACGTGCGGATGGATTCTGTCCAATAAAAATCTAATAAAAAGAACAGAGACTGAACCTCCACTCAGCGCGGCGTTCAGTCGCACAAATTAAAAAAGTGAAATTAATTCATTTCTGCTTTGCTTTTATTCTTGTTCGTCACAGGCTTTCCTTGGAATCCTGCTTCGTAGCTTTTGAATTCCCTTTCTGTGACAAAGTCAACAAATCACAAATTAGCAAAATAAAAGCCGATATACTACTACTACTAGATAAAAATTAACGGGTAACATGAAGCATCATCTTAAGCTCTGTGAAAAGGTTATTTTATGTATTTATTTATTTTTATTATCCTTTAGAGCCTTTTGTTGTCTAAAAATCCTGACCCATGTTGACTTAAAACCTAAAAACAAAGTAAAACGAAGAAGCTAAACTGAAGTGCATTACTATAACAAGTGTTTTATCTATTTGTTCTGGTCAGACCATTAATTACAATTAAAAACATCTTTAAATTTGCTGAAGTTATTCTACGTTTTTTTTTTTAAAGAGCCTTTTCACTCTAGTATTGCTCCCTTGTCAAAATTGTAAATTAAAATTGTCTTTCTCACTTGAATAGAATAGAAAATAATTTTATATTTTCCTCACGATGGATTTTAGTAGTAATACATAATACAACCCGGTACATATCAAGTACTGGCCAAATACATATCAGGCTCTACGGAAATTATTTTAGGGGAAGGGCTTTTCTTGAAGAATGGCATTAAAGGTCCTCCACCTTTAATATCTAAGTTAGAAATAAGTCTCACACAAACCGTGAGGGCTCTGTGTATGTGTTGGAGATCACGTTCGGCTACTACCATTCCACATTTTAGCTCCGTATCTGTAGAACTGACCGAGTTAAAACCATTTTTGTGTTTGCTAACTTTGGCACTCACTTTGAACTGGCTTCATTAATTGGTCAGAAGTTCATCTGTTGTAGACATACAACAACTACTTTCTGAAAGTTTGGTTAAAATCTGTCTAGTGGTTCAAGAGATGTTTTGCTAACAGGCAAGTTTGACTCCTCTAGGCAGAGTTTTAAACAAAGGTCTTTCAGGATCTGGTAACACTTGGAGTAGCTGTTGGAGGATGACTCAGAGATACTACCACACCGTTGTCTAGATAAATATCTCTATAATTCACAGAGTTAAAATCGTTTTTGTGTGCTGAGGTAGATTAGCTGTGGCAGCCATCTTGAATGGTTGTTGATTCCTGAGGTTAATCGGTTCTAGATGTGCATCCAACGTTTACCTTTTGAGGTTTTTATTAAAAACACCCACCTTTCATGGCAGTGGGATATAACTGGAAATAGTAATTATATTAGTGTTATAGTAATAGATACCCACTACACTTGTTGGGATTTATCTTGTTTTGAATTGGACCTGAAAATAGTTATGAATAAAAAGTCAGGTGACTAAACAAATAACTTTACTTTTGATGAACTCTACTTTCACGTACAGCAAATGTATTCTATTAAATTTATTTATAAAGTGCCAAGTCCCATCAGCAGTCGTCTCAGGGCGCTGGACAGAAACGTTCACATTCATTATAAAAGCCAATTTGTAAAAGTTATCTAAGGAAGCAGCAGATTGAGGACAGGACAGCGAAACGAACACAGAACGGCAGGTCCAGGTGAACTTTTTATTGGAAGAAAGACAAAAATTACACGTTAAGATAGAAATAATGACAAATACAAACAGGTGGAGTAGAGCAAGTGAAGACGGCAGCAGAGTGAGGAGATGTGGTCAGTTTGTCCTCCAGCAGTCTGAGCTTATAGCAGCAGAACTTAAGGGACAGCTCCGGAAACCCAAGCCGACCCTAACTATAGGATTTATCAAATAGGAAAGTAGACAAAGTGTCAGCCTCACAGACAGAACATTCAAATCAACTCAAGTACTTGGAAATGTAACTGAAGTAGCTTTGACATGTTAATAAGTCAACGTTGTTGCCTCGTGTGAAGTGTAATTATAATGTTCCCAGAGGCACGTACGCTGGCTTTGTTTTAGCACCCCCACCTAATACAGTACTTGACCTATTTAATGAGTATTCTGCTTAATAAGAAGTGGTGCCTGGAAGCACAACATTTAGAAAGTTTTCTGTTTCTGGGGGAAAAAGACCTTAAGCATCAACATATTTTATAAGAGGTAGATAAAGACATCACAACAATACCAGTTATTAGGAAACTGTTTCAATGTTACATATCCAAGAATGGCAAAGTATGTGTGGGCTGTTAAGCCAGGATCTTTTTTTTTTTTTTTGCTCTGACTGTTGAGGACTGGATGGTGATTCAAAATCCAGATTAAATTGCAGAAAAACTGAAGTTTCAGTTGCATTTACAGAGTGTTAGCATCTAAGCCTCCAGCATGCCATGCAGCTGCGTTTGCTGCAGCTAAATCTGGAAAAATCACTCTTTTTGTGATGCATGACTTGTGAAACTGTATTTTAGGCTCCACATATTATTTTGTTTCCCTCCTCCACTCACATCCTGCCCACCTCATGCGTGTTTAGACATCAAGTTCAGGAGTTGGAGAAAGTAAACTAAATGTAGGCTAGTAATTTGTTTTTGGGGCAAGTTCACTCCAGGACATCTTAGGGCATCACAGCCCTGTTGGTGGTCAATCAGCCACACTAAAATGCCACGTCTGCTATCATTTATTTATTTATTTTTCACCTCTGGTGAGGCGGGGAGGCGAGTCCTGGATGATGAGAGATGAGATGCTCAGCCATAATGCCATGACCCACTAGAGTGGGACATTGTGCAAACAGTGCATACGGTGTCAAATAAAAACAAAAATACATTTATAAACTAGTAGAAAATCATAAAGAAATGCAGCTCTGGCACACTGAGGTTACAGAAACCAAATAAAGAAGGGTTCCAGACGTGTGCCAGATGTTCACACAAACTTGGCAGTGTTTGTCTTTCATTTGTTTTGAACAGGTTTAAAATCCATGAGGCACAGACGCGTGGCCCTGTGACTCACATGGAGCTCTATAAACACCCACAAGTGATTCAAATATTTTGGAAACCCTCACAAATGTTCAGTTTGACACGACATACTGTATTGAGATTAGCGATGCACAATATTATCAGCGTGGTATCGGCCGATATTAGCGATAAAGTTAAATAATGGACATCGCCCATTCCATCAAAATAACTCACCGATATAAAATGTACAAATTTTAGTGTTGTCATTGTGTTGAAGACCATTGACAAAGACCATGCAGAATAATGTATTTTAATTTCACAGCAGAGAAAGCTATGTAGTCTCTGTAAGTAGGTCTAGGGGGAAGAAAGTATTGGTATCGGTATCGATTATCAGCCAAATCAGTTTTTGCATATTGGCATATCAAATATTGTCCAAAAATCCAATATCGTGCATAATTGAGATGCTTTAAAATTATAAGGTGAAATTTCAGACAGGTCAATAGGATGTGCATGGGCATCTTATTTTGCTTATACAAGAAGACTAATAATATGCATTTACGGTTATCAGTAGGGATACAGGGATTTTATTTGACAGAAAACAGTGTTTTCAAAGTGTTCACCAAGATGGCTTCCTCTCTACAAGTTGTGTTAGTCTGCAAAGTCTCAGAGAAAGCACGAGTGACAAATGAGCAACACAAGGCCTTCGTCACATTAGTTGTGCTTTCAGTCATTATTCAGAGCTGTGTTTTTTTTAGGGGGGGAAATAAGAAAAACCTTTCAAAACTCCAAAAAAGTACAAATATTCTCACCTGAGCTGTTTTTTGCTTAAAGGTTTTAGCTCATAAAACCAGACAGAACTGCTCTTGACACAGTAACAGTGTTATTTTCATGCACACATACAAAACTGTTTTTATACCCTGTGGACAGTAAATATGGCAACCACACCAGGACATGAATAAATAAACACAAAACGGCATTTTAAATCACTCAGACCATCTCCAACTTTCACCCCTTCACGCTGTTTTGCTTTTGTATTTTAAAGATTTTCTTATTGTTAGAAACGGTTTATTACAATTGTGCGAAACCTATAACGTCTTCTAATAGAAACGAGGCTGGTAAAGGATTGTTTTTTTTCTGACGCAGCATTTTAAAAGTTGCCCTTGCCAATAAAAAAACCTGCTTCTGATGAGTCTTCTGTTCGTGTGGCAAAGATCTCTGAGGAAGAAAATTGATTTACGGTATTTCATTTTACAATTCTGTGTTTTAGATTTGAGGTTCTCATTGTTGCTGAAACTGTCGGGTAAGAACAATAAAAGTTGGTGAATCCAGAAGTGTAATTTAAAAGTCTGAGCCCTGACAAAACTCGTGACAATCAGCAGCAATATTTTATAAGGCTCTGCACGCCCACCGGCTGACTCATTGTAATTCAGTGTGTATTAGAGCATCACTTGAATGCCTTCAGTATAAATAATGTGTACAGGGAAACAGCAGCACTCCTGCTGGAGCTTTCTTTTCCCACCGTTACTTCAGTGTGACCCACTTATATGGACGCTGCAGCAGAGGAGGTAATGCTCCGAGTTTCACCATCATCTACTAACTGTGGTGGTGTTAGCCAGAGCTTACGTTCTCATTTTCTAGTTGGTTTTATCTATCGATCGATCGATAGATAGATAGATTTAGATATATCAAGGGCCTGGTTTCTTTATTGTCATTCTCATCATATGTGGTGGAACAAAATTGTGTACACAGGGTCACAGTTACGTCCAACAAAAGTATAAATTATAAAGAAAAACTGTAATAAGATCTAAGATATGAGCTAAGAAATATGCCAAATTAAGAATTAGGCCTGCCGCGATAAACATTAAATCAATTAATCGCATGATAAATTAAAATTATCGACCTCGTTTTCATTTATCGGCGTTATCGTTTCTTCGCGTGTCTCTCTCTTTCTACTGAAGACGCTGGATGACAAAAGGCTCAACTCCGCTGCTCTTCACTGACCCGTCCCTTTCTCTTGTCTCTTTAAAATCTGTTTTAACCGTCCAAAAATCACGTTTTTGAATCGTTAAAAGCAGCTAAGCTGAGAAGCTAAGCTACGAGCTAAGCTAACAGGCCGACCTCGGGAATAAACCTTCGTCTTGTTGAAGCTTCAAAATTCACAGTTGAAACCTGTGCCTTCGTGTAAAAAGTTATTCTCTGCAAAAAGAAGCTGAGAACTTGTTTACAGATTTTTTTTTCTTCAAAGCTTTGTGTGACAAATGCTAAGCTAAAGAGCTCAAACCACATAGAGCGTCCGCCATTTTGAGAACCAAAAAAAAAAGGAAGGAGAGACAGCCCATGTCACGTCAAGGGGCCTCCCTCGCATTTTTCTTAAAGAGACACGCTGCTCTCACCCTCGCTACCCATCCTTCGGTTCAAACAGTCTTATACTGCCATCCAGTGGTCAAAAAAGATACAACACTCAAAACAAATTAACCAACATTTCTTCTTAAATTATTGTCAAATTTCAAACAATATTATCATTTATCGCAGTAATTTCTGAGACAATTAATCGCCCAGCAAAATTTGTTATCGTGACGGGCCTACGAGTGACCCCACGACCCAAAAAGGAAGAAGCTGGTAAAGATCATGGATGGATGGATGGATGGATGGTAAAATGGCAGATACATGGATAATAAATTTGAGGACTGGGCTGTAGGTGGATTACATTTTTCACACGCACCAACGTAATGCCTCATGATTAAGTGCCTTAGAAATCAACTTTTTAATACTGACCCACAAACCTGCAGGTTATCGTTTTATTTTGAAAGTGATGGAACTCTGTTTTGCCCCCTGGGGTTTGATTGTGAGGCACCACGAGTCCAGAACGCATCGGCCTATTTTCACACGTCCTTGTTTCCCTCTTGTTGTAAACTTGTCGCCTCCAAAAACGTTCCTTTAAAGTTTATCGAGACGGTAACTTGTTGTTGGTGTGATGTTCCGCAGGAGCACATTCTGCCTAACCCGCGTGCCTACTACCGCGTGGACCAATCAGCAGAGCCCGACGTGTGGCTGGACGCCGTTCAGGTTTGGGAGGTGAAGTGCGCCGACCTCTCGCTGTCACCCGTCTACAAGGCTGCCATGGGAATGGTCAGTTCCGCCTCTTAATCCCCCCCTCCCCACCCCTCATGTGCCTCCTCTGATAAGCTCTGCCCGCCATGGTCTGTTGGCTCGAATTAGAACTCATAATTAAAGCGTCTTAGTTGAGTTATTAAGAATGTTGTAAAAGATGCTGGCTTTAATAGAACAGATACTTGTTAATTAGCCGGGGTTCAGCTGAGTCCCACAGTGCACCTCTGTAAAAAAAAAAAAAAAAGAAATGTTACAGCATTATCAGTATTCAACTCCCATTAAACATGCACAGACATGAATGAACTCTGTCTGGAAACATTAGCATATTTCAGTTAGCTTCTGATGCACGTCATGGGCGAACTCTTTAAGATTTTAACGTCACTCATTTAAAGTTTGGATATGATGAAGGCTTTTTTAACACCCTGGTGTCTGTTTATATTATTGTAGCTACTGAGATGTAAAACACAGCATTCTGATTATGCTTATTTTTACTAGTTGAGTGTAAAATATTCCATTTATTCTGCTGTTTACATACAGCTTTGGATTGTTTCTGGTTATTGAAAGGTTTATTTCAGTTTATACAAAGCTTGACTTGGTTCCTCTCAAGTCTGACGTTCAGTCTATGAGAAGAATGACCCAATATTGACCTCGCACAATACGTATTCTTTATTTATTTGTTTATAATGTAAAATGTATATAGGTAGCCATTAGTAGTGTTTAATTAACTTAAAAAATGATAATAGATCATTTTAAGTTTGTCCGTTGATTTGTCAAATCTTCTCAAATCAGTGGTTTGAATTTTCCATAATGAACTTCAAATTGATAAAGTTGGATTTTGAGATGGGGTGGAAATATTTAGGTACTTTTAAGTTCAACTAAATTTCATAGGGGTGCAATTATGTTTATGCGTATGACAGAGTGCACGTTAGCATATGCCCAACTCTGTTATTCACAAGCTTCTGACCGACAGGATGAATGCCAACTCAAGCTAATGTGGTCATCATTGTTCATCACTGGAATTTTAAACATAAATTAAACATTTTAGTCATTACTAAGGACAGTCTTGTTGTTGTAACTTTTATTTACAAACGTATTTTTTGGAGTTCAGTATAGAAAATATGGGGAAAAAAATAACATCCTTACTGGAACATTTCTACTACAGGAAGCTACGGTAGCTCAACTGGGACAAACGGCACCACAACTCTTCTGTTGACTCGCCCTAAAGTGGCAGCAGCCATTCCTGTTCACCAACTTGATTTTTGATATTTGAATATCATTTCAGAATGCCCTACGATGCATCAAATATTTGTTTAAACTCCCACCCCTAGCTTGAAATCTAATTTTTGTGGGTGTTTTATTGATTTATATATTTTTTTCACGTCTTAAATTTGAATTTTCATGTTACCTTTTATTATGAGCTCCAGGGAATTCATCATCAAATTTTGCAGCATCTGTTTGCATTGTATAATAATTAAATAAATAATGCTGTAAACTATATATATATATATATATATATATATATATTTTTTTTTTTTAGAGTAATATTTGGGCCAGCATAAAATAAAATTAAAAAATGCTCCATTTAGCTAATCATAAAAGTGATAGTGAAGCATATTAGCTTAAAAACCTTAATTGCTCATGTTTTGATCAGCTCAATATACCATTGAACTCATGTGGACCACTATTATTGATGAACTGTGATCAATAAATGAGTCATTATTAATAAAGTGACAGTAAAACCTGTTAATGTTGGACATGACGAGTAGCTAACTCCCCAAGTTAGTTAAATAAAAACTAAATCAAGTTTATTAAGAAAAAGGGCGTTTACAGCCGCTAGTGTTTTATAGAAAATGACTGAATTTCCTATAAAACTAGAAGCAGCCAGTTGATTGGTTGGCTGATAAATTAGTTTCATTCTTTTCTTTTTTAATAGCCTGCATCGTTCACGGCAGAGCATCATAAATCGATTAAAAGGCAGGCACATCATTAGGCAGCACAGTGTTAAACTTGTCACTACGTCCTTGTTTGGTCACCGTGCTTCCTGTAACAGAGTACGACACCAGCGCACCCCAAACGAGGTTTAACCTACATATTAATCTAAAGCTTCAAAAAGCAGTTTCATAAGCTCTAGGAGAAAACTAACATTTTATTAATCATCTTTTAGAGCCGTATGTGTTTAACTAGGCAGATGGGAAACGTCACTTTAAAAGAAAGAAAACTTTCTGCCTAGAACTGTATTTATCGTCTTCAATAAACTGCAACACTGGTTGGACTGTGTACTGATCCACATTGGGCCCTAGAGCTAAATCACTAAATTAGGCCATTACCGTTTTATGTTTCCTTTTTAAAAATCTAGTAGATTGTGATGTATATGAATATTAAACCCTTACATTTATGAGCCAATAAACAAACAAATTAGCGTTGTAAATCATCCTTTAGTTGCTCTAATTTTTAAAGTCTGAAATAACCTAATTCATCATCCGACAGTAAATGAATGTTCTTCAAAGCCTTAGTGTTGCAGAAGTGATATGTAAGTAAGTAAAACTTTATTTATATAGCACTTAAGATAAAAATCTCAAAGTGCTTCGACAAACAAAATAAACAAACACACTAAACAAATTTAAGCAAAAGCAGATGTAAAACGATGTGTTTTTAGCTGGCCTTTAAAGGAAGCCAATGAGTCCATTGATTGGAGAGTTTCAGGAATGGAGTTCCAGAGTCTTGGAGCCACAGAAAAAAAGGCCCCATCTCCCTAAATTTTCTGTTTTGTCTGGGGGACAATCAGCAGGTCTTGATCACAGGACCTCCAAAGCTGTGATCGGGGTGTAGGGATCTAAAAGTTCAGAGATGTAAATCGGTGTCTGTCCATGCAGAGCTCGCCAAGTCAAAACCAAAACCTTGAAATCCACTCGATAATGAACTGGGAGCCAATGGATTTGCTTCAGAAGTGGAGTTATATGACAAACTTTTGAAGATCCAGTCAGGAGTCTAGCAGCAGCATTCTGTACAGACTGCAACCGGTCTAGGGAGGTTTTGGTTAAACAAGTGTACAGTGCATTGCAAAAATCCAGCGAGACGAAACAAAAGCATGAATTAACTTTTCCAATTCTGGACGAGAGACATTACGGCTAAGCTTGGCAATATTTTGCAGATGGTAGAAACAGGAACAAACCTTACATGAGTTTCCAGAGTAAAACCCGAGTTAGGTTAGCCCAAGATTTCTGACCGAGGATTTAGCAAAATGACCAAGAGGCCCAATTCAGTGCAGTAGTTTTTTTCTGGAGCAAAGATGATTACGTCAGTTTTCTCTCTATTTAGCTGGAGAAAACTTTCAGTCATTCAGCTTTTAATTGAATCCAGTTAATTAAAATGTAGAGTTTTGAAAGTTAATTTGGAAGAAAATAAATTTAAACTGGATATCAGCATAACAGTGATGGGAGATATCCTTAAAAGATAAAAGTATCGAACCAAGAGGGAGCAGAAACGGCAATGGCCCCAGAACAGAGCCCTGTAGAACGCCAAAACGAACAGGGCAGGAATGGGATCTGTACGTAGATGTAGCCAAGAAGGTTGATCTATCGGATAGGTAAGAGGATAACCATTTCAAAGCAGAACCTGAAATACCAGCCCAAATCCTCAGCCTATCTAACAAGGTCGGATGCTCACTAGTGCCGGACGCTGACGTCGGGTCCAACATGAGCAGCACAGAACATTTACCTGCGTCACGTTGCATCAAAATAACATTTTGATGATATTAACCAGTCAATACCTCAATATTAAGCAGTAAGCAGTCTTGTCAGTACCTCAGTGCTCATGACAAAATGCACAAATACTCAGACTAAAACCTTAGTTTATTAGAGGTTTGTAACATTTGTAAAATAAATTTAAAGAAACTGACACCGTTTTGTTTTTAGGTGGATCCAGAGAAGGGCATTTCTCTCAGGTTCCCTCGATTCCTCCGGATCAGAGATGACAAGAAGCCTGAGGACGCCACGACTGGAGCTCAGGTACAACTAAAGAGCGTTTCCTCAAACAAATGTGGAACCAGCCGTGCACGCCGGCACACAGTGTCAAATACATGTGTTAAACACCAAGTACAGTAACTGCAGAAAGTGTTGAAGCGTAAGGTGAAACAGGTCAGCCTTCTGCAATCTAAAACTGGCCGCGGCCTGATAAGAATTCAATCATGTTTGTTCGGATCGCTCAAAGTGACACATCATCATCATCATGGTCACTTCACAAAAGCTGTCCTGTAAAATTTCAAGGGTGAGCAACACTGCAAGGACAATGTCCCTTTTTCCCCATTCTGCCAGTAGTTTATGTAGTAGCTCCTGCAGCACATTGAGGAAAGCTATTTAACACGGAGGTAAAGCAGCATCTCGGGGGTTTATTAAGAAGGTGGGGGTCAGGCAGCAAGAAGTGAATCATTTTGCACAGTTGAACACTTCTGTCTTTGCCGTTAGATACTCAGAAAACCTATTCACACAGACATTACACTATATCTGCTAAAAGACTGTTACCCGGGCGCTTACACAGCTGCCCACTGCTCCACCTGGGCGTATCTCACGTGTGATGGTTAAATGCAGAGAACTAATTTCATCATTGTATAGAAGCACAATAATGACAACACATAGCACTTTTAAATTTCAATTGCTGCCATGGATGGATGGATGGATGGATGGATGGATGGATGGATGGATGGATGGATGGATGGATGGATGGATGGATGGATGGATGGATGGATGGATGGATGGATGAAT